ACAACAGCAGCGGCAAGTGCTAGTGCTGAGCAAGCAGAAACAACAGCAGAAGCAGCAAAGGAAAGCGATGAACCAGCAGAAGCAACAGAAGCAAAAGCGTATGAAAGCAAGGCTGATGAACCTTCAGCAAATGCACCCAATGAACAGCAAACAACAGCAAACGCGACAGCAGCAAACTCAAACAATGAACTAGCAGTAGCAGTAGCAGCAACAGAACGCTTGCCAGGCGTGTCAGCAACAAACACAACGTCAACAGCAGCAGGGACACCAGAGACATCCGCCATCCCTGCAAACAACAGGCACGCATCAGCTGCCACAGTCAAAGTTAAGCAGGAGCCATGCGAGCCTAGACCAGCACCATTGCGACCAGCGGGACAGCTCGGGGCAAAAGAAGGTTCTTCCAGCTTTGTGGAGGCAACCCACAGAGAGAACAAACGCTTGGTCAACAACATTATAGAGGGGCTAGCGTGGCATGACGATGCGCTAGACTTTCTTGCGGCTGATGAGCAGTTCGGCGAGGAGGCGCTCAAGAACATGGTTGATCGAGCTCAAGGTGATTCAATGAGCACCTCTTTCAGTGGAATTGAGTGCCCTCATACTGCAGCCTGCTGCAACATCATGGCATTGAGGCGCAGATACAACCTGACTGACAAAGATTTACCAATGCCTCGTCTTGCACATGATTGAGTGGGACAATGCTAGCCAAGCTGAGTTGATGCTCATTGCCAAGGAAACCAATGCATGCCTGTTCTCTGATATTGGAGGTTTTTTCCGACCAGAACTTCAATCAACAGTGGCTGACCTCAAGGACCAATGGGATCCGAGACCAACGTCAACGAAAGCATTGTTCCTAATTTTGATAGGTCATTGATAGGTTACCATGGTTCAGAGCAGCTCAGCTCAGCTCTTGACTCTTTTTGTTGAAGTCACCGAAATCACCTTCAGACTTTCAGTCAGTATAATACCATGGAGGACAATCCTGCCATGAGTGTGGAGATTCTTGCTCCGTTGCTTGCCTCTGGGCGCCTGATGCGCAGCGCCGCAGACTGTCTCTATCACGGACGCTTGTGCAGTCTCAAGACTGCGCAGAAACATATCGCAGGGACATCATGCATTCCATATTCACGGAGAGGGGTGCAATTGGGCCATAAGGATGATGCCACTATCTATGCAATTGCCTTCATTGGCTTGAGATTGCTCCTGCAGGAGTCAGACATCACTTTGGAGAGACCAACCCGCACTTGGTGTTTGAACTTGTTTACACTGATTACTGAATATTTCATAATCAGTGTTATTCTCATCCCCCCGTCCCCGTCCCCCCGTGTTCAAAGTTCAGCCTACTGTCCTCCCAGGAGCATTTTTAATTTTTTCCGAAGGGTTTATGATTTTATGATGAATGATGTTCTCTGCCCGTGTTAGTTAGGAACGTGGTGGGTGCTGACTTTAGTCTCTATGAGCGATTCCTTGGCCACTTGTATTATTTCGAGACGCATGAGATATGTCCCACAACGCTGGGGTGGGCATTTGCTCGGCCGAGAATGTTTTGCAGGATGCGTCACAAGGAGAAGGCACGGGATTTAATCTTTGACCAGTGGACCAGTCACATCAGCATTCATTACAATTACTTCATCGCAGTGGCAGTGAACTATAGTCTTACATATATATATATATACACAGGTATTTATAAATATATAACTAACAATATAATATATACAAACAAGCCAACGATCTGACCCCAGGTGCTTGAGGAGATATCTCCACTGGCAAGCTTCTCGAAGCTGTTCTGGCGGGCAATTAACTACACCTGGCGGGAAATCTTTTTTGCACACAAGCCTGAATACCACACAGAGCTCTGCATTGACTCGGAACTCGAAAAGGAGCTGCAGTGTGCGCAGCAAAGGCCTTCCTCTCAGCAGTGTGGGTTGCCTGCGGTATCTATGGACGACCCTTTGTGTTTCAGAAAAGTTCTCACAGAGGGTGAAGAACTATTTCTTCGCAGCTATATGCTGAAGTGGCCAGACTCGGTATACCAGCTCAACCAAAACCCTGATACATCCTTTCAATCACATTCATCAGGGAAAGCCCTTCCAACCATCATCAAGAATTGCAGCATCATGTATTGGGCAAACGCCTCTCCAGAACGATGGATTTCAGGCACAGAAGCTGTTTGCACTCAAGGCTTCCCCATTCATCCAGAGGTCACAAGAGCACTTCCTGCAGAAACAAGGCTCTGCAGTTTTCATACCAAGCGCCAGGAGCGCTCTACTAGACACATGTGGTGCCAAGCGGGCAACTCCATGAATTGTCTGGTCATGGGGCTTCTCAACTTCCATTCATCAATGTGCTGGAAGCCAGTGCACGTCCCAGATTTGCTGAGCAACATTCGTGCAGGACGGCTGTTTCTTTGGAAGAAGTCACTAGAGGAGGTTTCACTTGGGAGCAAAGGATCAGCAAAGGGAATAGGTGTCAGTGATGCGGCTGCGACTGATGATGAGATGGATCCTGATTACTTCAACCTGGGGGGCAAGGGCCAGGGACAAAAGCGGAAGTGTGAGCATGAGCTGGAACTAGCGCATTCCTCCTTGCCACGCAGGCGCATGATTGGGAAGCAGGAAGACACCAGCGCAGCCAGTCTTTCATTTGCACTGCGTAAGCAACTCCTCCTCCGCGGCCGTCTCCATCCAAATAGTGGGCAACCTGCTATGAATGGTGGTGGTGCTGCTTTCCGGCTTGGTATTGGTGGAGCTTGAGCTGATGGCAGTGATGACACTGAGCTGGCTTTGATGAGTGAGACTGAGTGAGATCACTGAGGCTGGCTGATACTGATTTGTCGCAGATCATGTTCATATGCGATATGCGGCTGCGTATCAGTTTTCAAGTTTGCATCAATGGACAAATCACCAATGGGAGAGTCTTCATCTGACTGTCTGACTGCTTGTATATTTCTCCGTCCGTTTGGTGCTAGTCCCACCGCCCGCCTCATTTGACCATAGTCTTGGCTTAGGTATGTGTTGAATTCGACTCATGCATGCAGTCACAGAACACTGCTGTGGTTGTGGGCTTTCCTAGTCATCGCAGCCTCAAGCAAGTGCCCAGACCATCTTGACCTGTGGATGGTCTTGTATAGGGAATTCTCAGGTCTCAGTATCACCAGGGGAGAAATCCGGGGAGAAACATGTAACACGCCGCGTTAGTTGGTTGGTTCAAGTTTAAGTTAGTAACTGTCAGACTGCCATTTTGATTCGCTTTGATTTTTGAAATAACTGCAATCACATACCCATACCGACCCATACCCAGCAGCAACAAGTAACAACAATCATTTTTTAACTTCTCTTCTCAGCTCCTTTTCTTTTGAGGTCTGGAGTCGCTTTGAAGGCTTTGAAGCCTTCGCTAACTGGCTAACTGGCGTTGAGGCGCTTCCGTTGGTTGTTAGTTGTTGGCTGAAACTGAAACTAGACAGGACATTGCATGGTCCTCTCAATCACCGTGCGACCGTGCGGTGTGGAGTTGTGGAGTCAATGTGTTAAGACGCTGCAATTGTGGTATTTGCTCAATTTCTTCAATATGTTGCCGAAGTTGCTTCTTCCTCATCTTCGTTGTTTTTTCAAAATCTAATCTACTGTCTACTGTCTACAGCAATCTAAGGGATATGATATGAAAGCAAATGGTTGTTGATGGACAATGGACTCATGAATCATGAATCATGAATGAATGAATTGCTCCACGTGCAGCATGTGCAGAGGCGGTCGCCGGTTGTCACATTGTTGGCTCCAAGAACTTGCAAATTCCAATCCTGCAGTTGTGCATTGCGCAACTGGACTGTGCACGTTCAATTGCCAGATTCGTGTGACTTTGGTCCTTGTTCATGGCCATGGCGGCAGGGTCAGAGAGTGGCTCAAAGCTACCACCGAAAGGTTTGCTGATCAACCACACTCCAGCTCAATTGAAGGACCGTGGCATAGACGTGTCTGATTCAAGCTACAGCGCAGAAGACCTGTTTGGCACTTTGGCTGGGTCTGCTTTCCTGGATGCAGTCTATGAAGCCTTCGGTTGTGGTGAGTATGACGTGAACTGGTTTACATCAGGAGAGCGTACCGTGGTCAGATCACCTCTGTCGCGACCCATACAGCACGCGACGGCGGAGGTCTATAAGCACCGGATACTCAGGGAGGGCTTGTCACAGCTTGCTAGTGGAAACTTTCCTGCTATTAGAGGCAGGCAGGCAAACTTATCTAATGAGTCTAATAAATTTTGCATTTGCTGTGTTGCATAGCAGCTAGCAGCAATACTTTTTAGCTCCACGACAGGGACAGGGACCTAAAGAACTTTAGCGTTCGCAAGTTAGAATCACGGTGAGGTAGGGCCAGGTAGGGCGAGGTGGTGGGGAGACTGGAGAGAGGATTCCTCAACTCCTCAACTTAAAGTTTTTTGGTGTTCAGATTCATGTTCAGTCTGCGGTCTGTTTAGCCACTTTGGGAAGAAACAACGTGTCATGGCTCATGTGAGTCATGTATACTGTATACAGTATACTCATTCAGCAGCATTCAGTGATTCAGCTTGATGCTCAGGAGATGCTGTGTTCAAGTTCCAAAATGCCAAGCGGGTTCCACCGTACGAGGCGGGGACCTTCAACCATCGCCTGGAGGCCTTCTACAGGGCCACCCTTGAGTTCCCTGACAATGATATGGTCAAAGCATGCCTTGGCAAAGGTCTTGTCCGAGTAAAGTTCATGAGTCTTGCCAGCGTTAGCGTCAGGGCAGAATTCATGTAAGTACTAAAGGTACTAGTAAGTACCTCCAAATTGGACTCACCTTTACACTGTTGTTTATTGTGTGCGTGTGCTGGTAGATGTCAATTTCAATCACGTAAGGACAGAGGCTATCAACCCAAATGCTTGGAGGAAGTTCATCAGCGTGCACAACGGATACCGCCAAGGAAGCGGAGCTAGCTTTTTGGATCACTGTGAAGAGGCTGGCTGACTTGAAATTGGATGGAAGCAACACGTACTCCAGACCGGAATCAGTTTCTGGTCTTGAACTTGACAGTCAGTTTTGGTTTCGGTTTCAACTTGTTTTGACTTGTTTGCCATTAGGGGGCACGGTGTCAATATCCCCCTTCTCTCTACTCTACACTGTACACTGTACACTTTGCTTTGCTTTGCTATTCTTGCAAATTGGCAGCAGAGGCACGTCCAACCCTCGCTACCAGAGCCTGTATGAGGCCTTTGTTTATGACAAATCGGACACGTTCAAAAAATGGCAGCCATTCACGCAAGCTTTGAGCTTACTACACCAGTTGAAGACCTTTGAAATCTGGTCACCTGTTGAGTCATTAGCATTCATTTTCATTTCTGTTGGTAAAGTTCTTTACGGTTTCTTCTAGAAAGGCCCTTGGCCTTTTTCTGTCAATGGATTCAATGATCAATTGGTCAGTTGGTCCATGTTTTGCCAGGGATGAGTTCAAGCTGTGGTGCAATGGCACTGTTGACTTCTTGGACACTCGCTTCAATTCCTTTGCCACTGTGGGTGTTATGCACGAGATCACACTGCTTATCGTTGGTTCTATGAAGAGATTCTATGATAAGAAGGAGATCGGCTTGGTGTTGCTTCAGGCCATCAAGTTCTGCGCGCCATGGATTTGTCTATCAACTTGTTAGTTTTTTCATTGAAGGGGCTAATGACGAATACTGAATAGTAAAGAATGGTTCAATGGTTTAAGCCAGGCTATGTGCAAATAAAATCATCTTTGGACAGTTAGAAGAGATTTGAGGTCCCCACTGTGAGCACTGGTACACAACGGAAGCTGCCATGGGTGTTCCAGTCAAAAAGTGAAGCCGGCAGCAAGATCATGTCGCTGCTTTTATTGCCAATGGAAGGGAGCTTGGCGTTCAGAAAGCTTGGTGTGGATGAGAATGCTTCTCTGCCGCAGGAAAGCCCAGCGGAGAAGGTGCAGGCCAAGATTCTTACTGGTTTGGAGTCATTGGGATTGGCCGGCCAGTCTAGCCAAGCAGCGCCTGGCAAGCCCGGAATAGCGCGAGGTGCTTCTGCTTCTTTGACTTCTGATCTGCAGGATGTTGATATGGCTGATGGACTTGCCTTTGCTCCTGCTTTGAAGGAGGAGGAAGCTCCTGTTGGTGGGAAGAAGCTTGATATGATATGATATGTCTATGCGTTTCTGTTTCAGGGGCTGCTGACTGCTGTTGTTGTTGTTTCAAGTTGTTGTTTCTGTATCTACACAGCAGAATCTATGGTGATTTGTGAATTGTGAATGTAGCGGTAGTGAAACTGGTCCTGGGTTACTCACCTCACCTCACCACCTCACCACGTAAGGAAGGGCATAAAGCAAGCCTTCCAAGGCTACTCCAAGAAAGAGAAGGACTCCTACACAAAGAGGATCACATCGTGTGACGGAGATTACCGCATGAAGACCAGCTTGGATGAGGTTTTGTCAGCTTTGGGCTTTGTTGCTGCTGAAGTCAAAGCTGAATCAGAGGCAGCGTGGGCAGCAAAGCAGCTGGGCAGCCAGCAGACCAAGGAGAAGCAGCGACAGCAAGAGGTGACTCTACGATCTACCATTGGGTTTTGCGTTAGTCTGTTCATTGAATTTGCTTTTGAAAAGCAAGTCAATGTCAATGGGACACAATTCCGATCATACGCTGGGTTGCGCAGCGAGCTTCAAGGGGTTGTCAAGAGTGCGCACGCACGCTGGGTGGAAGCTACAGCTGAAAAGGGTAACTTCTCCACTGGTGACTCACCATCAGGTGCACCAACAGATGCCCTGAGTCTGGCCAGGGCTTTGGCTGAGGAATATGCAAACCGCCCAGTCACCTCCATTTGCTGGGACGATGAAGAGGAGCGAAGCGTGAAGAGAATTGGTCATGTCATGGCTACTCAATATTCCTCCGTGGCAGCCCCATTGAAGACCTTCGTAAAGGATGTGCTGCGCAAGCCTATTTTGCTCCACGATTTCCCACGGTCAGCCTTAGCAAAGCTTTCGCAGCAGCAGAGGTCTTCATCTTCTCACATGGAGATGGTAGATATGCTGGGTATGGTGAAGGATGAGCTCCAGACATCACTTCCTTTTTGTTGGGTGGCTCTAGCAGTGGAGGTGTCCAACGTCTACGCAGCGAAGAACCATTTTGTGGAAGGCACTCAGGAGGCAGGCCAGCGTCCAAATAGTTCATTTCAAAAATAAATAGCGGGTCGTTACTAGGGATACAGGGTACAGGTTTGAGTCATACACTTTCTCCCCTTTCCCTTGCCTTCTCTGTCTCTGTCTCACTCTTAGTGGTTGATGGTTGCTTCACCAAGTGCCTTTTGCAACCTTTTGCAGGTATTCATGGATGCTGATACCCTGGCAAAGTTCGTGATTTTGAGGGTCCGCTACTTGTTTGCTTTGCTGGGGGAGTGCTTCAACAGTGTGCCTGACTTCCACTTGGCTGAGTCCACACCAGCAATGAAGAAGTTCTTTGACACTTTGGCATCGTTGGGTGGGAAAGACACTGATCCAAAGCTTGTGATTATTGGTACTGGAGATAGTCTGTTGAACGCTACTGATTGGGTGTCCACTTGGGCAACTCTGCTCACATCTCACACAACCATTGATGGCTTGGTTGCCGACATCCAAAAGAAGTTCGGCTTGCCCAACTTATCCGCACCACCTCCTCCCAAGCCTACAGAAGGTGGCAAGGCTGAGAAGGCTGAGACCAGTGAGACGTCTGAGAAGACTGAGGATAAGGAGACTGGAGAGCAGGTGGAGAAGAATGACACTGACACCCAGAAGAAGGAGTGGACCTTGAGTACCATCAACTCGTTTACAGGTTCTGGGCAAGAGGTTTTGGGAGACTCAGACGATGCTAGCTTGTTGAAGCTGGATACAGTATCCACTGTCTTTCTCAGAAGGTTCGAAGTGGAGCTAGAATCCTTGCTGTGGAAGCTATGGCGCGCTGTCCCATCCAAAGTGCTTGACGAGTCCCTTCTCATCGATCCCTCCGCACCAGCCAAGGATATGTTTCATGTCAAGTACCCTCTTCCTCACAAGAACTTGTCCTTGCCATTCATGGGCCAAGTCACCGCCGCAAGCGACGGTAAGGCCAGCTCAGTCTTCCTGACATCAGTGTTTGGTGTCCACTTCTTTGTGCAGCCAGTGTCCAGTGTATGTACACCTGCTTGGGCAGTCAAAACTGTTTCCAGGCATGACCAGGCTTTCTTCGAGCTGACGACTGAGAAGTATGTTGTTGCTTGCGTGGTTGAGGATGACTTCCCAAACCAGCAGAAGAGGAGCTCTGACACAATCCCCTTTGGCTTGTTTGTGATGGACGACAACAAGGCTGAGGAGGAGAAACTGTTTGATGGAGATGAACATCTCTATATTTCTGAAGCGGACACTTAGCTTTATGAATTTGAGTATGGTTGTGGTTGTATGCTTGTTGTTGGTTCTTTATTTGGTGGTTTGTTGTTCCAATTTTGATTGGACTTAAATTCGTTTGTCTTTGGTCCTTGGTACTTGTTGGCACCTCAGGATTTGAAGGCCTCACAGCGGAAGATTGATTTTGACCTTACCCTGACGTGCTTGACGCCTGTGAAAGATTTGGATGCGAAGCTCTCGGAGGACCGGTATTCTTCTTGGCCAATGTTGAGACCATACGTGAGGTTTGGTTGCTAAATACTAAATTGCTAATGTAGAAGCAAAGCCCGGCTGGATTCCAGTAGGTTGAACCCCTTTCAGGAGTTGGAGCTCAAAAAAGCGAAAGCAGAGAAGAGCGCGAGGGCAACCATGGCAAAGAAGTTAGCCAAGGATACCAAAGCAAAAGCAGGAGTCGGAGTCAAAGGAAAAAAGAGAAGCCGTGCCATCCGTGCTAACCAGCCTGATGATGTGGAGATGCCGGAGATTGAGTTGCCAGAGAACCCAAATGAACAGATCCAGGTTTTGGAAGCAGCTATTGCGCAGGAGAAGGAGTTGGAGAAACTCGTCCAGTCTTGCACCGCGGAACTACAGCTGCCACAGAAGCTGCAGATTACTCGGCTGCAGGAGGTTGACAAATCAAGGAGCGCCAGAGCAAAGGGCATGGAGCTTGCCTTGAAGAATGCGCAGGCAGTCCAAGCAGGTGGCAGCGGCCATGCATCCAAAGAGTCTGACACCCAAGCAGATTTTGGTTTGAAGGCTGCGATCAAGCATTGTGAAGATCCCACTGCCCAACGTCGTAAGAAGGCCAAGAAGACTGGGCAAGCCAATGATGTCCTCAAGCTCGGGAAGCACCTTTTGAAGTGAGCGAGTGAGGCATGAACCAGCTTGTAGTTTCAAGGATCCATGCTCGGATCACTTGGGGGCGTAGAGTGATTGGACGTCGTTGGGGACGAATTCAAATCACTTTGAGCCATGTGTTTTCCGCATGGCCTGACCTGTGGCCAGTGGTATGTTTTCCATGGTAAGGTGCCTCAGATCACTTCCATTCAACCCTTCAACTTGTTGCTACTTTCGCGCAATGCCTCCTGCATTGAAAAGTGCCACTAGTCATGTTCAAGACCAATCATGAATGTTGGACTCTTGGGCTCTGCCTCAGTTTAACTTAGCTGTGTTGGTGCTCCATTCTCTTTAAAGTCTCCTCCAAAACACCATGAAACTTTAGTACGCGGGTGTTTGTTGATTCGATAATCGGCCCATGTGTTCCAACCTCCACTCACAAAGTACAGAAGACTTTGGGTTGAAACCTGAAGCGACAGCTCCCTTTGAGGAGTTAAACACACCGCTGCCGAAACGAATTTTGGAGCAAAAAAAAGGGATGAAACGCACAGGGAGGCGTATTGAAACTGGAGGAATGCAAACAGGTGTGCTGTTTCCACTCACATGTTCCCTTGTTTGCAGGTGCTGGTACTTGGGACGGCTGCGCTGCTTCTACTTTGAGTGTGGCCAAAGGTCACGCTTAACTCCACTTCACGAGAGGAAAAATAGTTTGGAAAGCTGACACGGGTTGGCGTGGGCAAGGTCAGGAAATGTTGTTTCCACTTTAGACCACTTGAGACTTTTGAGAAGTCAAAACATACACAACAGCCAGCCACAACAGGACGTACAAAATTACAGCCCTGATGACCCCGACGATGTGCAACATGTGCAGAAGTCAAAACATACACAACAGCCAGCCACAACAGGACGTACATAATTACAGCCCCGATGACCCCGACGATGTGCAACATGTGCTACAAAAGTAAAGCCCCCGATGCTGTCTCTGTACCCCTTGCTGGCTTCATGCTACAGTCTGAAACCGACTGTTACGACTGAACACCTGATCCGATGTGTGAGAACACCGAGGATTGGAGACCCTGAACCCGGCTTTTCGACGTGCCGAGGGCCTCGTGTCTCCACCCGCGATATCGGCACGGTACGCACTCCGCGAGCGAGCGAGGACCATCACGGTGGTGAGCGATACGAACTTGGTGCCCGTGTTGGCCATGTACGGCCTCAAGAAAGCTGCTTCCAGGCCTGCCGACGGCCGACACGACCGGCGTGGGACGACGTCACTGTTCTTTTTGAAGGGCTAAAACGCCCGACAGCCGGCCAGGGGCCCAAAACAGGGGAAGGGGGAAGAGCAAAGAAAGTGGAAGGAGGGATTATTGTGGTTGTGGTTGTCGTTGTGGTTGTGGTTGTGGTTGTGGTTGTGATTGTTGTCGTTGTTGTTGTCGTCGTGGTTGGTGGGTTGGTCGGTTGGTCGGTTGGTTGGTTGGTTGGTTGGCCCATCTTGGGCCCATGTTGGCCCATGTTGCAAACACCAGAGGACCCTTGTGATGGGCTTTCCTAGAGGGACCATCAACTCACTTAAACTGTTGTTGTTTGCTGGGTTGGCCAACTTGGATGTGGTCCATATCGAGGCAAGAGCGCCCAACCAGAAATAGTACGATCATGGTAATCACTGGTACATGTTTTGTTTGCAAATGATCTATGTCCGAAGAATGGTTGGCACGGCCTTGCCAAGTTATATATCCTTCGTCGTGTGTCTCACTTGTGTCACTTGACAGGTTCCCCTCCATCGAGACCTTTGGAAACGAAGTATAACCATCGATCAGATATGCTCGCCCCAACAATCATTGAAAACCCTTGAGAGATACCAATGGGATCTAATGGGACCATATGCGACCATCTTCATCAATTTGTTCACTTCCATATTATGAAGATGGTCCCATTAGATCCCATTGGCAACCCAATAGTATTCGAGGCAAGGTCAACCCGGTCAACCCCAAATGGGCCTTCGATTGGGGCTCCAGACTCGCAGACTCGCTGGCGCTGTCTGTTGTCGACTCGTCGAGGCGCCCACCATACCTCTCTGCCTTGATTCACGAGCTGCGCCTATTCAGCAGAGGGTGTGGGGTGGGTGTGGGAGCGTGGCCACAAACAAACAATCGATCCAAACCCCAAACACCTCGGTCAGCCCGCTGTCGTCCCATGGGTTTTGCAGGTCGTTTCGAAAGGTCGAATGTCTACAGGGACAATTCGGTTCCCTGATCCTCCGACTGGTGGGGAGTTGGCTCACAGGGTCGATGGGAAGATTCTGACCAAACTGGCCAAATGCATTTGAAGCACTTGTTGGGGTGAAGTGAAAGGCCAAAAGACATGGGTTTTTCGCCACCTCCGATCTCGTTGAGCCACAGCGGTTCGGGACGTTCGTACTTTACGAGGTACGTGCACAGGAATGGGTCCCACTTCATCAGGGCACGGTGACCCGGGTGGAAACGACTGAAACGACGGTGGCACGATCACTTCTATCAGACAGGAGGCGCTTTGGGCGGCGCGATGAACCAAGCAGGCGAGTAAAGACTCATGGTGACCGCGCTGGACGTCTTTTAAGTCCAGATTGGATGCTTTTGGGTGCTTTTGCCACGCTGGGGGGATGTCCGTTTGATGGTTTGTTTGGAAGATCAGAGCGCCAGGGCAGGGTATTCCTCATCCGGATGGTGTTTCTTTCCTCAGGCTTTGATTCCAAAATGATCCAAAATGTGAAGAGCAAATCATGTATGATGCTGGATGAAAACCCACACTTCGTGGCTTTCATGCCCGAGAGTCACTCCCTCTCTTTGTATGATTAAATCTGTTATATGTGCATGTGTGCATGTGTGTTTTTGAAAACAAGACCACGGATTGGCACGCCTTGGAAACAGCGCGTTGAGAGCTCAGACACAAGCGTCCAGCGAAGCAAAGCAGTGATCTTGCTGCATCGTGTCATGCAAGTGTACCAATTACGAATAATCCCAGACACTCCATGGGACTGCAATATATGCCGATCAATTGACCCCTGGCACCACCCCTGGCCGTTTCTCGGCAGTCCGGACTGGCAGTCCCATGGGTCGCGTTTGGGATTTTCGGTGCTCACTGAGGTTCTCTACAATGGTCGTGTGCAAGAAGTTGGGGCCTCACTGGGGTGCTGAAATCATCACCACCACGGCGACGCGCGGCGTCGACGCATCGTTGTGGACGGACCAAATGACCCGAAAGACCTCCCCGTTTAGCAGTTCAAGCCTCTCTCGACTTGAGATCCATACTGGGGGAGGTGGTGAATGGATACCCCTTAACCTCTAAAGAGCTAGAATTCGACACCCCTGGCCCGGGGGGCTCGAAAACCGCCGTGTTGGCCAACAGGGCAGGGGGCCCGACGGCTGTCCGAAAAACACGGTCGACGGAAGTGGCGTCCAAGCACTTCAGCGGAAAAGGCACAGAGAGAAGCCCACCTGGGAGGTGTTGCAAGAGCATTTTTGGAGCGCCTCCATGTTTTCGCAGTTTACACTCCCTGGAATGAACATGGATGTGGATAATGGCCCCGAAAGGAAGACACAAATTCCGGGGGGTTCCACTTCCATGTTGGTTCCAGGGAGAGTACGTGTTTGAATTGCTGCTTCGTGACATGATTCTTTGCTGTGAAGATGCTTGGACCTGGCGCAAGGAATTCAGCAACGTTTAAAACGTGCGTTCCCCCAGAAAGCAACGCCACCAACAAGTATCAAGAAAACCACTTCATCAGGATGCTATTCATCCACTCTCTTGTTGAGCTATTATATGGAAGTTGGGTTTGTCCTCTTACCTGTCAGTAAACAATTATCACTACTTTTGGACAAGGCCTCTTAACCATCATCATCATCATCCACTGTTACAGGTATTCGGATAGACCCAATATGGAAGCTTAAGCAATTGCAATCACTGCTCTCGTGTTTGGTGCTTGCTTCCACGGAATTGGTTTCTCTCCCCCGTTAGGGTAACAGGTCACGTGGGTGCTGCTGGTAACCCTTAACAGACTCCAGCGCTATTGTGTCAACCTCAGTGCTGTTAGTCAAGGTTTGCCATGGCTACTATCCCCTGTGCCCGTTGAAAGAGTGACCCAGCTGCAATGTGTTGGACCGGCAGGGGGCCGAAACCCCCAGTCTCGGTCTGATGTACGAGCTGCAAGAGGAGGCGGGTGAATCACAATGAAAGAAAACCCAATATACGATGTCATCAGGCTGGGAGTGCATCACTTTGACCATACGTTTCACCTAATTTATATATGTTGCATTGCTATAATATGTTGGCTTAGAATCCGACCATGTGACCATGTGTTCGAACCCGAACTTCTGACTACTTCAACCTGACCATGACCTGGGCAAGGTCGTCGGGTGGAGCCAGGTCGGTGTCCTGCGGTGAGCGGGTATCCAAAAGGTCCACCAGCCGGTCCGGCGGCAGGGGGTCTGTGTCGGACTGGGGTTTCAGTGCCTCCTTATCTTTCGAAAGCTTGAAAGAAAGTAAGCAGAAACAAGCGGAAACACCTGCACCTACATCTAAAACGTCACTTTACAATGTGAACACATCATTATTTGATCTTATTGGTGTGAAAAAACACCACGAGCTTGCACTTCACAGGCATTGGACACCCACTACATCCCAGGGGACAAGACATGCCCTGCCGAGTCAGCTACGTGTCTCCATCCAATAGTCCAGCTTCGTTTGAGCTCAGCTGCATCATCAGTCTCTTCGACCATTTGTCGCATTGAAACATCTTGAAACCAGAATCAGCAATCTTCTCGTGGCGACCATTCTGAATGCATTGCATTCATGCAGCAACATTCTCCTGACATTCCCTAGGGCTCCAACCATATCCTCAGAAGGTGGTTAGACCCCCCAAACCCACCCCAACCATCTTCTCAGGAGGTGGTTGGAGCCCTAGGGATTAATCCTCCAACAACATCAGAAGGTAGTTGTGACCCGTCCTGTCGCCCAAGGGACCCTAACTATATATATCATGATCACCTACCCATACCTTCCCCAAATTCTTCCCAAACCCTACATACTACTGTACATACCCTAAAGGCCTACTAGCCGCTACAAATCCAGAGAGTTCGGACGAAGTGACGTTCTTTCAGGCCCAGCCTTCGCGGATCGCGAAGCCGGTTCACCTGTGCCCCTTTGTTCGGTCAGACGGTCAGACGTCATGTCGTTCCACCAACAGAGGTTAAGTGACCGTAAATAGGACCCGTAACCTGGGGTACCTATAGGGTAGTCTATAGGGTTCTTCAACCTCTGTTGGCAGTCCGAGGTGGGAGGATTTGGTGGAAGATTTCACTCCCTCACGAAAGCCTGGAGACTCGGTTCCGTCGAAGCCGCAGAGCGCGAAGCCTGGAGGTTTCGCGGACGAGGGAGACGGTGTTTTCATGGACGGAAGAATTGAGAAAGCAAGGAGGTGGAAGCAGGGAGAGGAAATTGGAGCCAAGACCTTGCTTTCCTGATCTGAAAGATGAGCCAAGACCTTGTTCTTGCCTGTTGTGTCATGATTTGCGTCTTTTTCTTTGTATTTGGATATGGCTTCTACGCAGTGACGTGGTTGGCCATTTGCCTGACAAGGTTTGTCGTTTCCTGACCCACAGACCCTCAAATAGATAGAAGTTGGTTCATCCCCACGTTCAGATTGTATTGGAAACCGTGCCACCGTGCTCTGTGGGGATCACCGAAGGGCTCGTCTCTTCGTCCTGCCCCAGCCTGAGGTCCTGCCCCGTGCTTCACGAAGCTTATGACTTTAAGGTTCCAAGGAGCTGGGTCGGGACGTCGTTTTCTGCAGGGCAAGGTCAAGGGACCTCCCTGGTGTGGGTGGCATTTCCTGTGTCAAACCACAGAACACAGACTGACTCTCCCCTTCTCCCTCCAAGATGTGATGTCCAGATATATATGTGCAGTGTGTCGGTCATCGACCCCACACCAGTGACCAGGTCAAACAGCTTCAGATGGCCATCCGGTTCAGCTCTGCTTCTCAGAGATCGATCGATCCCGAGAGTTGGGGAGACCCAAACTAACACCTCGCGCCACCACTCGGCGCAGGAACCGCTCGTTCAGCCGAAGTTCCATGCCCTTTGGGGTCGACGTGCGTCATTTGCCGGAGGCGAAGCTGGCGAAGATGTGGGGGAAAGAAGATGTGAAACCCTAGCCTTCAAAGACGTGGGTTTTGTGGTGCGGACTCCTTCAGAAAACATGTTTGGCAAAACAACGGGTGGTTCGGCAAAGGCGATTAAACAGGGGGAGAAAGATACTCTCCCATGCCCATGCTGGGTTACCCCACTTTTCGTACACCTTTTTTTGGTACGGACGAGCTGACGAGCTTCATAAGAATGCTCGCGCATGCTCTCGCATGCTCGCGCCTGGCGCGAGTTCCAATCTCTGAGCGCTTGGAGTGTGCCAAACCGTTCAAATCGAACTCGCGGAGTGCTGGGAGAATGGGTTGACGGAGCTTGAGGGCACCCGGCGCGTGAGGGCATGGCCTGGCCTCAAAAACTGGCGAACTGAAACCTCGACCCGTCCACCAGGTGCTCCCGACCGCGCCAGGCAGTGAAGGAAGTGAGCGACAATCCCCTTTCAAAGGCAGGAACCGCCAAGCTTAAAGACTTTCTTTTTAAGACCTCAGTCTTCCCAAGTGCATAGATGGATGATGGATGTGTCCAAATCATGGTTGGGACGTTGAGCAAGGTGTAAAAGTGTTCAACTGCTCGGGAAAGATAGAGCATTTGTGATGGCATGTCATAGCTAACGAAGCTTGAAAAATCCTTCGCAAAGGGTACAAGAACTTTGGTTTCGCGTTGTGTTAGTATTTGGGTTGGGGGATCTTTCTCTGTGTGTGATTGCATTTGGGGCATCTCAAGGTCCATCTACCAGGGCCGCCAGGTGCTTCCGATGATGCTGGTCCTCCTGTGCTGCCTTTGTTTGGGCTCAGCATGCCAGAACCCCCAGCCGGGCGCGGAACCTTCCATGAAGGTGACGATGGTGACGGACGTTTTTCGTGAAAAAACACGGCCTTGTTGCATTTGGTTGTCTATCCCCACGGAACGTGTGTTTGGTTCGGGTTCGAATGTTTGTGGAAAAACCACCGGTGACACTGGAAGAAGTTTTTTACCGTGGTTTTTTTTCCCACAGCCCCCCCCCCCAACCATCCCCAACCCACAGATTCGGCGTTTGGAGCACCTCATGTTGTTCGGGGCTGAGTGATGAGTGGACCACTCTTTCTGAGGTGGTCGAAGGCGAAGGCCCCTGCCGACCAGGTGGGCCAGATTCGGGTGGACCTGGTCCGTTGGACAGGGCGGCCGAGAGTGGGGGCCAGAGTGGAGTTATACCCCTAAGTTTGGTGGGCAAAATGGACCCTATGAACCCCCTTCTTCGTAAGAGATGGTCAGAGATGGTAAGGTCTGACCTGCATAGAGGCAGATGACCTGTATGCCGTATATACCGTTATATGCCTGTGTTTCAGCCTTTTCTGGCTAGCCTTTTCTTGTGACCTTGGTTTCTTGGCCATGTCGTTCCGCAGGGATCGCCGGCCAACCTGTGGGACGTCGTCGTTGGTCATGGCGAGCTGTGAGACGCCCGAAAGACGCATCCGGAAGAACTTGCCGTCTTTGTCTCTGAAACTCTTGTGCGTTGACCGGAAATGGAGGACACATGGCAAGAGATGATCTACCCCCAAATCAAGCAGCTTAATACCATTTCAGCGCAACCCGCCATGCGGGCCACGGCGGTCAGCGCGGCCTTGTGCCCTGGGTCGTGCCCGGCCATTCGTCTTCCCCGAACCCAGCGGGGTCGTGTTCCGAAAAAAAAAAGGGTTAGGTCGACTGAGCTACACGCCGGTCCCATCGGTATACCATCGGTAGGCCAATTCGCCATTCGTGTTTTTTTGTTTTTTCCGCGTCTTCCGCTCTCTGACTCACAGGTCCTTCGACCATGAGGACCGCGTGATGGAATCGGACATCGGAAGTGGCCTGAAAATAGGGTCCCACCCTGCATCGGAAGTGGGTCCCAGAATCTTGCCCCCAAAATAAAAAAATATGAACATCCTGCGGACCTCTTATTGAGATGATGTTGAGCTTTCATGATTCTTCCCTTCCCAAATACGGTCTTGAAACATGTGCTGCATTTCTTTTTGTGCCTTTTGCACCAGGCAGATCAGCATGCAGTACTACACACTACGACCTGCACGAGCTTGTGTTCTGGCTCCACCCAATGGGTTGAAAAAAAAAACAACTGGAAGAGACATGATATGAATAGGGGACAATTGATTAAACATATTTCGTGCGCGCCTGGCCCTAGTTGAACTGGTTGTTCACCACCCGGTAGGGACATGGGCATCCCACGTGGCTGCGCGTTGTTCTCCACATGACGGTCCTTCAAAGGCTTTTGTGGGCACCGCTAGCGGTGGCAGCCATCACTGTGCCTTTGGCAGCTTGGCTGTCAAGCCGAACAGGCATCCTTAGAACATCTTAAAATGAGATGCTAGGCTGCTTGGACTTGGCACTGCTATTTAGAGGGTATATAATTTTAACATATTTTAACAGGTGTTTGTCATAAATTGGTCTACTCAATTTGCTCCCTATGTAGAGGGTCTCAGTTCTGAAAGTCAGCCGTTTGGATGTTCATTCGTTTGTAGATGTGCCTTCGTTTGCGGGGGGGGCACATGAGTTCCAGACCCCTCATGACGTTCCAGATCCCGAAAAAGACGAGTCGACTCCTACTCGTCCGGCCAGGAGGGCCTACGAGAAGCTTTGATGACGTGATGTTTTTCAGTGACGTCACCATATTGTTTCGACTGCAGAGTCCGTCAGGTTCAAAAGTGTTCGACTGCGGAGTCCCAGCGGGATGTGTTTGGCTGCCATGGACACCCACATGGGAATGGTAGGGGCCAGGAGGACTGTGTTCCCTCTTTCCCGACATGGCCATCACCTCCATCTTGATCGAACGGTGTCGACCAACGAGACGGGGCGGTCCTTGGTAAAGAACGGTGGAGTGGAGTGCGGGTGGTCCTCCAAGGCCCGTTTTCGGTGTCCAGGTTCCTTCCTTTGACCAGCGGCTACCCTGGGTTCGGGAAGATGGGGAGGAGCGGTCGACCAGCCCCTGGAAGAAATGAAGGTCACCAGGGGCTTGGGAAGAGTGGTTTCTCTAGTAGTGGGTGTTTGGTGGGAGGGCGGAGGGCATGCTCAGCAACTACATACAGAGTTGTAACTGTGGGGACCTCTTCTGTGAAGCATGCTGATAGATATGGTGGAAGGGTGCTTCTAGTGGATAGTTGGTGCCTCAGCCATTCTTGGCTCATTTTTGCCTTCTCCTGAAGGGATGTGAGGCAATGGGAGGAAAAGGAAAAGGAAAGAAAGGCCTCTTGGCTGCAGGTTCTTCGGTTCCTTCATTTGTTCCTGAGTGACAGGGCTGTGGCTGCAGAGGTTTGTCCCAGTGATGTGATGGGAGATGATCAAATTAAAACCTGGGACACCTGAAACCACCGTAGGGAGGCTCCTTGTTTCTTGAGTCGTTTCGTTTTACTAAGAGCATCGGTGGCATCGTGATCCAGCTTTCACCCACACCTGGGAGGAGCATTCGTCAACGGACTGAGCCGCTGAGCCGACCAACGCCCGCCACGCTTCGACCGCCCTCGTCCTTCGTCACCACCGCGGACCCACCAACAGCGACGACCGCGCGACCGGTGATGCGAGCCTCGACCGGTGAATGGCAGGTGGGGATGGGATTGGACAGCCGCTGCCTCCATGGATGCGGAAAGGAGGGAAGAAAGGCGAGCCAGCTTTGCCTCGTCCGGAGCGTAGGGCGTAGCTAGCTTCGCGACAGGGGAGGCGGGGAGTTCGAGCAGTCCCTTCAAAATAAGGGATCGAGCATAGCTAGCTAGCTGCTTAGTAGCTGGAGGATATCTCTTTGATCCGCTTGGATTGGCAAATTGGAGATAGATGAGTTGGATTTCTTGTGATTTCGATTCTTTATTGTTTCTCTTCCAGATTCAATCTGACAGATTCTCCAGAGCGTGTCCACTTCAAGATTGCTTTGTGCAGGGCCTGCCAAGGTCCAGAAGTCCTTGCCAATGCTCTTGCGCTAAACCTGCCTACCAACTCGGACTACGCTATCCGAGTGAAGGAAGGAATTCCTTGGCAAGAAAACAGATCCCGTTTCCCTTCGTCCGTGCCTTCACTTGAGAACTACCACCTATAGATACCTATAGTCTGACTGCCAGGGGGCAAAGGCGGCAAAGACGGGGGCAAAGGTGATGGTGGCATGTGGGGTATGGGCGGCATGGGCTTTGGAGGCGCCGCAAACGAGCACGTTGTCGCGTGTTGTTGATGAGGTGGACCTGAATAGAATCTCCGGCTGACCATCTGGGGGCCAGATACCGAGCTCCGCTTTCGGGGGCAGATATTCCAGCCTCAGGCACTATACGGCAAGGTTGAGCTTGGCGGTTGAAAGATCAGTCATCACATGCACTATAGTCACTGGACTAGACGGGCGAACACCACCATCATGTTTGACAGGGCACCTGTGAAGTGCAATACCATGCAATACCAGCACATGTCTGGAGACTTTGCATCGAACCCGAACCTGGCCCCCTGCAACACCATTTTCCACAACAAGACCAGTGTGTTCAGTTTTTTTGTTTCTTTGCAGTGATATCTCCCCTACATTAAAGCTATCATCCCAGCATCCTGACTTTGTGGCTGGGTTTGTGTGGGCGAAGAGTGTGCTTCCTTGTGGTGAGATGATATTTGGCTGTAGAAGCCTCTCCTTGAACAGCCTGTTGAGCATCCCCAACAATGCCTGCAGAACCCTGATTGCTGGGGATAAAGGTTCTTATAACGATATTTCACTATGCATAGATCGATCGATCGATCGATAGATAGATAGATAGATAGACAGAGAGATAGTCAAGTTTGGGTGGGATCTCACCCAAGCTTGGACAGGTATGGGTGGAATGTTTCCTGGTATGGGCATGCATCCTGGCATGATGTCTGGCATGGGCATGGGCATGCCTGGACGCTTACTTTGCAATCAGTGGAGGTGGGCATGAAGTGTTTGGAATCTTGCACCAATGTTTGAACATCCCCTTGAAGTGAGTTTGTATACATGTTTGTGCGACATTAATTATTTGGTCTTCTTTCTGGCACTGTGACATGTGCTAAAAGCAAACCAACACTGAATGTGCGACCGAGAATCGTTCCTTCCCGCACTAAGAATAAACCCGCTGTCCGCCGCGTTCTCGCCTGCGGACACTGAGGAATGCCGTTTGGGATGCAACAACCGGGCATGCAGCAACCTGGCATGCAGCAACCTGCCAGGAAAAGAACAAACAGCAGAAGCTGTCGATGTGAATCGCCTTTAGAATCTTTCCGGTCATTATGCCAGGCGTTTTGCTTTTGAACTGGTGTGGTGGTTGGGGAAACACGCATTCTGATTTGCTCACCCTACTTGACTGACCGCTCTTGGCTCTTGTGCGGTCCTGACGGTTTCGAAGCCACGAGGATGCCCTTCCAGATGCCGATGCAGATGCCATATGGAGACTTGTTTTCGACCAAAATAGATCGCCTGCCAAACCTTTCAAACGGGGAGTTGGGACACCCCACTGGAGTGGTTAACCTTTGTTTTTTAGGGAACCTGAAGCAGTCAACCGTTGTTAAGACCGAAAGGCTTAGTAGACTTGTGAGAGAACTTACTTCGTGGCGCGTGCCGAGTTTGTGGGTGGCGACTGCTAGCTGGTGGGAGATGGAGGGAATATCCACCCAACATAGGATGATTTATATATATATTGTATAATATTATATATATGTATGTTAACATGTTGAAACAGGGAGTCAGCGCCCCAAAGAGGAGTTCTCTAATTTAATGTAGACTGTAGACTCCCTAATATGAAGAGGTTGTTCACTTCAACTGGCAGGGTTTGTCAATCAAGAGCCTACAATTGCATTATGTATTGACATTGATTGATTTGGCCATTCTTTTGTAACTGGTCACTCGTAATTCTATGCCCCTCGCACCGAAGCCCACTAGCACCTAGACTCCCCAGCCCATGCATTCTGTTTGTTGGTCAGGGACTTGGTCTTCTACAAGTGGTGCCCAACATGTGGACAAAGACGCGTGCAAAAGTCTTACCCAGTTGGAGGGCTCGGGCCATGGCTAAAGATTGCTCCACCTGCGTGCATACCTGCTGCGTATATGATAGAAGTATGTAGTGCAGTGCACCACCCCCATCACTCACTGGAAGAAGTTACACGCAGCTTTGCAGCTCAGCACCTGACTGTGGACGTGTGATTCATGTTGCCAAGCAAAACTGGGATCCGTGCGTTTGCGGAATGCTTTGTGCGTGTGCGCATTGGCATCACCTACCTGTTTGTGCCCTGCAGTCAGGACAGATGCCTGGGGCACAAGGCATGCCGATGATGAACGGCATGGGCTTCGGCATGCCGAATCAGTTTCAAATGCAGGACATGCAGGCGAAGCGGTTTCAGGAAGGGATGGATCTCCGGATCGCCGCGTTGCGAAGTCACAACCGCCATGGCATCGGTGCCAGAGAAACTGATGGCACCGAGTCGAGTGGTCCTCCACATGGTTTACTGGGCCAGTCCCACCAGGTGCAAACGTGTTGGGTTGGGGAAGTCCAAAAGAGTGACATGGAGGCAACATGAATGACAGGCTTTTGCCATCTTTTGCCCCGAAACCAACCACATGGAGTCAACCAAAAGATGGTAAAATCAGTGGTAAAATCACCTGGTCACCAGGCATTGAGGTCAGGTTTTCATTTTCCCAGGCAGAACCACCCGATGAAAAGCGGGTTCAACGACGAGTTCGTGCCGTCGAGATCACGTGAGCCGTCAACGTCAGCGGTCGAGATCACCCTCTAGCAAGAAGTGGATCACCGGCAGCATTTTCTAGACAGCGCTTTCAAGCGGCCAATGCCATTTACTAGGAAAACTGCATGTGTACACCATGTTCTCTAGTTAGAGACTGGTTAATAAATACAGGTGAACATCCATCCCAGCTGTCTCATGGTGATGCCAGTCAGACCACATTGTTCCGCCACGCGAGCCACTTCCGTTTGCCTCCGCGAAACCTCACGGTCGAGGGGATGCAGATGCCCACCTCGTCGATGTCACTGCATCAGATGCAGAACGGACTTCAACCGCAGGACCGGCGTTGGACCGTCGCGGGGCTGGGGCGGTTGCGGTTCATTTGCTTTTTTGTTGGCTTTTCGGTCGCTATAACCTATCCATACCTAGTCCAAGAGGAACTTGTCTTCACAAGTGGGCCAGCACCAAAAATTTGGATCCCCACAAGAAGGCCCTGAGAATGTGTGAGATCACTGCCCAATGGCCCAATGGAATTGCAGTCCGATTGGGTGTTGATAAGTGGTGATACGGTAGGGGAGTCCAAATCAGTATCCTCCCTCCAGACATGGAAGAGGAACATGGCCCCGAAAGGGAGACTGTTTTCATCTATAGACTAACAGGCCGTGCCATCCATTTGCATGATGGTTGCAGGGTAAACATGTCCCAAACACTCCATGGGACTGCCATATATGCCTACATTGACCCCCCAGTCTACCACCCCAATGAGATTCTTCTCGCGCATTTCGACCCTCAGGGCATGCAGCAAATGCAGCAAGCAACCACTGGCGAAGCACTGGGGCCAGCAGGGCTCAGATCTCAGACACTTGGCATGAACGAATCATCAGGTGAGCTGAACTTGGACATCGGGACACCCGATGCGCTTTCTTTGTGTGACGGAAGCC